GTCTAGAGCACTATTTAAATCCTTAATCTGATCAGCCATCCTGAGGCGAAATACCAAAGGACTATAGAGAGTAAATAAGTAGCTGACCTGTTTCCACATCCGTTTCCGGGCAGCTACCTTGCTCGCAAGATTTTGATAAGTGATCTCCTCCACTATGTCATCAGCCTCATCAACGATTGCTCGAAGTCCCTTGAGCCAAGGCTTCAGATCTGGGTGGCTTGTCACATTCTGTTTCTCCGCATCTTGCAACAGAGCCCTGACCATGCTCAGTGCGAAAGTAAACTTCCTCAGCTTCAGCTTGTTTCGGCAGCTTCACAATCCAACACTGTTGAAGTTTTCAGCTGCTTTTACACCTGAAAATCCCGAGGTTGTTTCCTCGGGAAAACACTCCGACGCTCAAGTCAGCAATACTCAATATTCTAGAGAGAGATGCTCTCAAGGAGTAATTGCAGAGAGAGAAGCGTCGATATTAATTACCTTCATCGGAGGTAGTTGGGGGTATTTATAGCCCTTTGGTGCTGACATGCATCTACACGTGTAATCAGCCTATTGGCCCACGTGGTGCTGGTCACGTGGGTATGCTTGTACAGATGCTCCTTCAGCTTGGGCTAATGGGTGGTACTCTAAACCCGTTATGCATAGTCCTGTTTGGGCGTTGGGCCTATCCCAACACACAGCTTAAAAGCCACCTCCAAGTCCCGCAAATTGGAAGCATAGGAAATCAACTTGGATATTGCGGCATCCACAATAGGAGCAAGGATAAGATCAGCCATCTTCGTTTGAGTAGTTTGCAACCACGAAATGCTTAGAACAAAAGAAGGGAGATAGTGATGCTTTATCTTTGTAAATAACAGTACTGGCTGTGGCTAGAAACCATTTTATCCATTGTTCGTACAAGCATGAAGTTGATGTTTATTTATTTTTCTTTTATTTTCGTTTCTGCTAGTATCCGTTCAGAATTAATTAAAATTAATTTATGTGATTGTGAGTTGTCCACCTCTTAGTGTTATCTTGGAGACGGCATCATTTTCATGGTACGGCACAAAAATTAAAAATAAAATAAAATAAAGAAGAAGAACCATAAGGTAACTTATTAACGGATATTTATCAACAAAAAAAAAAAAATACTTATTAACGGATTCTAATGTTTGTCGATGTTTTGTCATTGGTTCAAAAAAAAAAAAAAAAGAGAAAGCAAAGGTAATGTTTTCAGCATATACACGGAATCAAGGATTTCCCCGGAAATTTTGTCCTATTTCATAAAAAAAAAAAAAAAGCCCAATAATTTAGGAAAAAAAGAAAATAAAGATATTTTGGCATTATAAATATTAGAAATTTAATAATAATTATATGATGCATTTAATAAAATAAAAACTCATATTATATATATTTAATGATTATAATTAAATATTTTAACATTTTTAAAATCAAAACATCTTAATTTTTTATTTTCTCTAATTGAGACAAAGGGCAAAAACTTACCTTGAGTCTCTCACCTTACTAAATTTGAAAATTTTAGTTCTTTACCTTATACTATAACACTTTTAATCTCTCACCTTATTAGATTTGTAAGTTCTAACCTTTCACATATTAAAATCGAAAAAAATAACCCTCACTTTATGCTAACTGTTAACTCTATTAGCTGAAAGTAGATTTTTGTCAACTAATAGTCAGTTAACAGAATTAACGAAATAGGCAGAACCCTCAAATCCACCTTAAAAAAATATCGGTAGGAACACATTAACCCTTAAAAAAAAAGCAAGAATAAATTGTCCCTCCAAATCATAAATCAATACAAATTACCCATTTTTTAACGAAAAGCGTCAGAATTCTGTTTGCCACGTCAACATGTTTTAATGGATAACTTTAAAGAAAGGTTATTTGTATTAATTTATGATTTGGAGGGATAATTTGTCCCTTACTTTTTTTTAGGGGTGGATGTGTTCCTACCGATATTTTTTGAGGGTGGATTTGAGGGTTTTGTCAACGAAATATTATAAAATTAATTCTATTAACTCTATTAATTTAAAGAAGATTTTTACCAGTTAACAATTAATTAACAGTTAGCTAACAGAACTAATAAAATATTACAAAATGAGAATTATTTTCTTCAATTTTAATAGGTGAGAGGCTAAAAGTGTTATAGTATAAGTTGAGAGGCTAAAACCTACAAATCTAATAAGGTGAAAGGTTAAAAATATCATAATATAAGGTAAAAAACTAAAACCTTCAAATTTGATAAGGTAAGAGGCTTAAAGTAGACTTTTACCAAGAGCAAGTAGCCAGTGCAAATTAAGTCATTACTAATTAAAAAAACAAACAAAATTAGAGCATTTGACATTAAAGAATATGATTTTTTTTTTTTAATTTGTGTCTTTAAAATATATATAGCAGTACAGCTTGAAAATATTTTTAGGGGATAAAATAAAATTTTGACTAAAAATTATGATTTTGTGTGTCAAATTTAAAAGTAAAAAGT